CTCCTGGTTCCCTAGACTTCTCCACGGGATCAAGAAGTTCCTTTTCTGCATTTACTAGCAGCAATGCTAAAAATCTCCATCATAATTTACACAATTGTGTGTAGCGCTTAATAGAGCTTCTGAGAGCAATTAACGAGATAGTGTGTAGATCGCCTCGAGTTGTGATCCCCGAAGTCTTGAGGGTACTGACTGTGGAATTTGGCATAGCCCCAGAGGTTCCAACCACCTCTGGCAGAATTCTAGCGTTGGATACTCCATGAAGTTGGGCTGCCAGGGGCATGACTGGTTGGTATTTTACTACCTTTTCCTCCCCAGCTTTCAGAAGGCATACGTGGCTTTATACACACATGCACCTTTTTACCGAAGCCCATGTATACACAAGTAATAAACTGGTTTGTATAGCGGCAATATCTGTTTATGTTTGTAATGCGTTGCCTCGTATGATTTTCTAGCTCTGCAACATTCAATGCAAGTAATATCTCGTGATGGAAAGGAGTACTTCTCTATTCGACGCTCCGAGGTGGGAAACCCTCATGTAAAAGACCGAAGTGGAGTGTGTTATATCAATGGACATCGTATAGATAAGGTGGCTTACATTAAGCATGGATCGAAAATTTATGTTAGTGCAGTAAAAAAAGGTAAGATAAATCTAAATGATTTTCAATGCTGGTTACCAGGAGGGTCATAACGGGCATGTGTCCCTTGAAACAGCCGGTATTAACAACTTATGCATACGTAGGTTTAAGGTTTTGTCTGTTACCTTCAAGTTATAATTCTTTTGACTGAAATTTCGATTGTAAATTGTAGATTAAAAATTCATTCTAATTAAAATTTATAATGTCTTCAAAAATGTCTTTGCAACAATTTAGTTACTTCACTATTACGAACTGTGTGGTAGCTGCTTCGTTTAATATACTTTTTTAAACTGCTACCAACTGAAATTTACCATTAATATAAAACACGTATAATAGAAGCGTGAGAGAAAAAATACTGCAGATCGTCCAAAAAGTAATTTTTTTCGGTTTAAATTTTTTTAACACCGTTATTCTCACAAAAAATACTATTCGGCCGAAACATCGGTTCACTTGTGAACAAAATTTTGTTTTAGTTCTTGTTTCATAAATTACTATTATTTGAAATAATTATTTTCATGACCACATATGACTTGAATGTATTGAATGTTATTACTCTCTGGTCGCAGAATACATGTTTGTGGATTGTTACATAAGCGACATGATGTTGCGACCACTTGGGTTAAATGGAAGCCATGCTATTGGGCAGTTGCTGGGAAAAGGAGGATTTGGCGAAGTGTACTTGTGCTTTGAAAAGGTAAGTGTTATGTTTACAGAAATAATAATTTAAGACTGTGTAGAGGCTTTTATCACTATAATAGGTTTGGGCATCATTTTCTTATAATAACGTAAATGTAAAAGACACATGCGTTGAAGCTGCATGGTATCTCAAATGTCGTTCACGCAAGTTGAAATAAGTATTTTTATTAAATTTGTTGTGATCATAAAAATATCAATTAAATTTATTGTGCCTCAAGCACACTGTATTTGATATTATTGACAAAAGGTACTGATCAAATAATTGCAATATATTTTTCAGGAATCTACATCACCTATTGCCCTTAAGATTACAAAAGAAGGAAGT